GGTTTGTCGAATGTTCACGTTGTAAGAGGAAGAGCAGAGGTATTGTTTCGTGTTTTTCGTAGATATAACTTTGTTTCTAGAGATGTCAAATTAAGGATATGAAGTTTTGTTATAGGACAGAATTGGGGCAGGCTATTTGCTTCAGGGAAAAATTTGATGTAGCGGTTGCCAGAGCGGTTGCGGAAATGAGAGTTTTATGTAGGAAAGAAAAATTCCTGTCCATATGTCGTATGTGTATTTTGAGTTTCATTGCTATGTGTGAGTTGCTGATTCTTGTTACTTTGGTGGTCAGCTGAATACTGTCTTCCTCTGGTTTGCGTTGGCGGTTTGTTTGTTGCTGCAAAGGGCCACGATCCTCAGGTATGTAATCGAAAAGTCTTATCACACTAACCATTCATTTCTGAAATCGTATCCAAAATGTCACTAAAAGCTGAACTGGTTAACAATCTTGGTTGTGGGAATTCTGTCTAGGGAGATTTATGACTTTAATTACTTCAGCAACATGACGAACAGCCCATTTTTTTCTTCTATTGTGCAGTTAAACTATTAGATATGAACAATTAAGTACTCTGCATATTTGGCACATTTGAACAGGAGGAAGTTAGGAATGCAGAAAAAGCAATTCAGATTTTGGGTGCTTCCGTATTGAAACAATGCACAGGCATGTCATATCTCTATTTGACAACTTAACAAACCTATCATGTATATTGGGGGGGGGGGGCGCGAGAGAGAGAGAGAGAGAGAGAGAGAGAGAGAGAGAACTAAAACATGTTTACTGATGTAACCTCTGTTTGTATCCAGTGGAATCGCACAGCCCATATGGACAAAGAACTGCCATCGTGTGTTTGAAAACTTTTCCTACACCATGGAAGTATCCTCGCGATCCAGGTACTCCAGAGAAAATACCATTGTAAAATAATTCAGATGCCCCCAGTTCAAATGTTATATATAATTGGCTTGGTGTTCCTTCCCCTTTCATCAGTTATTTATGTAACACCTTCTGCTTTGGAAATGAAATGCGACATTCTGCAAGTTTTTTTTTATTATTTCTTGTCGAGATTGGCGTAGGCGTTTCTTCAAATAATTTCGTGTCTCATAAATCAAGAGAACTTTCATGATTTCCTTTGTGAGCCTTTTACAGTTCTACATTCACACAGGTTTTATTTCAGTGAAAATTTTCTAGGGGAAAAATAACGGATAACGTTGATCCCATCTACACAGTAACTCGAAAGAAAAATTGAGCTCAAGAGCTAGAGAATGAGATCTGAGCTGATGAAAAATAGGAAGTGAACAAATATTTAGGATAATCTCATAAGGTCAGATTTTAGTATGAATTTTTCAGTGCCATGGTAATTGCTGCTTTTAAACCATTAAATTATTGCTGGCTGAGCCATTAGACACCTCATTTGAAACTAACCTACACATTGGTTGAATTGTGCTAGAGGTGTTCTCTACCGGCCACTCACATCCGCAAGATCTCATTGCACCCCCACCTTTCTTTCGGTCAATCTGTACTTCATAGGGTCTCTCTCTCTCTCTCTCTCTCTCTCTCTCTCTACAAGGACATTGGACGTCTATGTCAATTGTAATGGTCCAGAGACGTACTTCAGTGTTTGCTCCACCTTTAGCCAGCACCACCCACCCCTTTTGATCTGAAAGTTTGGGGATTGAAGTCACCTTTTGTAGCTTAAGAGAAACTAGAAAATTTTGGGTACTTGAAATCTTTGCTAAGCATGAACGTAATCAGGATTAAGCTTAGGTTTTACCTTGTAAAGCATTGTGTGGCGTAGATAACCCGTTTTGCTTTGCCTGTATAGTTGACACCTGCACACAAGATTATCCAAATTAGATCATCAGTTCTATTGTTTATCCTTTAATATGATACTTATCTTTGAAAAAAGGAGGTAAATCTCATACCTATCATTCTTCTCGTAGGTCAACAACGTTATTTAAATGACAGCAATCAGCAAGGATTGGATTTGAGGCAAAAAGAAGAACAAAATGAATTAGGTTAGAATAACGGTGTGCTTTCTGTCCTGAGATTATAAAATTACTGTGTTACCTAACTTCTCCACTTGTAATATGAAGTTAAGAACTAATGGTAGATCATTAGCATGTTAAACATCCACGTAAACGTTGTACGAAATTTGTAATCACATATTAAAGTAAGTAGATTTCTAATTAATCAGCTTTGGATAAGTCCTACTTTGGCTACCTGCTCCTGTCAAAGAAGCTCCTTATTGTAGAAGGTAGATTTAGAAGATAATCTTGCTTTAGCTGCCTAAATTAACCCAACTTAGAGCGAAAGGAAGGTGAGATTAACAAGTAATCTCTCTCTCTCTCTCTCTCTCTCTCTCTATCTATCTATATATATATATATATATATATATATATATATATATATATATTATTAATGCATGTCAATTGCCAAGTTGCCAACCAATCCTGCTTTAAGCAGAGGAGTGTATCTCTCTTAGGTGATGTCTTTCACATATGTCATCTGCCACTTTTAAGAAGGTGTTTCCAGTTTTCATTAATTTATTTATTTTTAATTTGAGATTTAGCCTCTTGATTTGGGATTTATATCATATTTTGTCATTAGTCAATTATTGGCTCTAATGTATTTGGATTTTCCCATATTTTTCTAATTTGTCATTTGTGAGGTGGGTTTCCTATCTGTAACTCTCTGATAGCCAACAACTTAAACATTTGGATTTTTTAATATTTTTGCCAGAGCATACTGAAGAATGTGACTCCCACATGCATCTTGTGACAGAGAAAAATTCCACCCAATAATTTAGAGCACACAAAAAAGAAAGCTCAGAAATTGTTTGATCTCTTTTATTATATTATAGTTTATAGCCTCCAAAGCAAAGTAAGAGAAAGTACAAACACTGTCTCCTCCTCTCATTAACTAAACCAAATCACTAGCAAACACACTACTCAATCTAGAATGTCACAGCGACGGTATCTCAATACAATCACATATTTTCTATGTGAAAAGTTCACGATTGTCTTTAAATACCGTCACTGTAATATATCATGTGCATATAAGTTTTTCTCGTAGAAAAAAGTAAATTAGGGTCCTAGAGTTCGCTAGGAATAAAGACCTGCCAGACTTTGATGTCACAGTCCAAACCACTGTAAATAACACAGGAGGAGTCAGATGAGCTGCAATGGTCATCAATTGTAGCAGTTAAACACTTCACTGGACCTTTATGCCCTTCCAAAACTGCTAAACATGAGTAACTTCTATTAACCCCTCTCCAAATTCTTATACTTTTATCTGCAGAGCCACTACACACCAAGTCTGCCACCACAGCCAAGCACAATATTGACCTGGTATGACCTCTAAGCGCACCCAGAACTTCCATATCCCACCCGCATCTTTCTTCTCCCAAACCACAATGGACCTGTCGCATGCACCAGAATACAACACACACCCATCACTGCTCATAGCTAGTGCATTCACCCCAGAATTGTGCTTTTCAAGTGTAGCAACTAAAAAGTGCTTTTTCTCTCCAAAGTCCTTTTTCCAAACCTTAATTTTTTTGTCTGCTGATCCAGTGTAAACATGTCCATCATTTGATGATGTTACTGCATTTATAGCATCATCATGTGCATTTGTCACAGACTCCAAGCATTTGAAGTCTGTTGTGCTCCAAACCTTGAGTGTACGGTCCCACGAAACGGAGTAGAGCAGCAGCTCATCGCTCGACAAGGCCAGTGCAGACACTGCGTCCACATGATGCACCCATGTGCACTTCTTGTGCCTTCTTATTTGGACATGGTTCTTCGGCATCAGGAGCTTCGAGGCGCGGTCACCAAGCGTTGGCAGCGTAGCTAGCCGCGAGCACTTTTGAAAATCAGGCTCCTGGCTGTCGATTTTCCACACTCGGATTTTGTGATCCTGATGAGCACTGAAGAGCTTGTCACCTGAAATGGCTAGGGACTTCACTGCACCCTTTCCTGCAGCCACCATGTTGCGATCATGCTGAGTAGGGCTTTCGTTGTTGAATTCCAGTAAAGGGTTGCACCTCCACGACCGGATTTCTCTGTCAGACGAGCCGGTGTAGATGAAGTTTCCGGCTAGGGTTAGAGAGGATATGTAGGAGTTGTGGCCCTGCAAGGTGGTGAGGCAGTGGTGGTAATTGTTTGATGGAAAGCTGTGTTGCCTGTGGGATTGTGAGGTGAGAGAAGGAACTGACTGGAGACTTGGCTCAGAAGAAAGGTAGGGAAACTCTGATTGGTCATAGAGATCATTGCCTGAGTACTGATAGGATGAGTTGCATTCCATGACTGATCATGTTACAGAGGGAGAGGGAGAGGGAGAAGAAGATGAGTTATTATATAGGGAAGGAAACAATGTTGGAGCATTATTAGGAGGCCTATATAAAGCTACAAAATATAAACAAATAGATTCTATGTTGGCAAAATGTGATGTAGCAAATATGGGTAATGCTAAGAAGACTAAATTTGCAAACTAAATGATGTGTCACTAATAGGAATGAGCACGTTTATCAACGCTTAAGTAATAAATCAATCATCAACTTCTATGTCCTTTAGTTTCCAACATTTAGTTTATAAAATTTAGTCTCTCTAGCATTACTCAGCAAATATTAGTTTATTAGGTGGGATGTGGAGCCTAGGAATTACTTGTGCATCTATCATGGTTTTCATCAAATTATGCCATACTTCTCTTACTCCAATGCAAGAGGACTTTTTCGGTGTAGCTGTCACTCTACCGCATGATATTATTAGTTCCTTCACGTTATGAAAAAATTTATTTGTAACTTTGCATTCTAAACTTTATAATATATCAATTATATTGTTCACTTATGTTATAACTTCACGTGGCAGTATAACACATATCACACCCCCGAAATGCTACTATCCAGACCAATAACACGGCACCGCATGTTTTATGTTCTCTCGTTGTGCTGCATGATTAATTTGGTACACCATCACATTAGCGTTGCTATTTCATGCAGCGAGGGACATAATCAGATGTTTCTGTACATAGTTTGGACCTATGAAAAAACAGTGCAGGATTCAACTATTTTGGTCCCCATTTCGATTGCTCAGTTTTGTCTTTGTCACTGAGTCTGACCCTCCACCATATTTATATAACAATTTCTCCCTTTTTTGGTGGAGAAATTAAGCTCCACTCACCCAACCCTTTCCCTCCACCTACGCTAATATGGTTTGTGATTAACCCATGTTTAAGGTCTGATTGCCACCTAATTAATTATGATGCATGGCCAAAAGATTAATCTAATTTTGAGGGCATTTGCAGGTGAGCAGAGCCATCCGCTTCCCGATCAGCAACAATGGTACAAGGTTTTCCATAACTGAGTGAGAAAATGCTTCTCGATTTGATTTTTTTTTCAATATTCTAATCCAATGGTTTTGGGTGTGTGCTTAATTTGACCTCATCAGTATGATGGACGAACAATATGGTATGAGGACTTGAACCTCCACTGTACAACCTACATGTCGTTGGGGTGAGGTGAAATGAAGCACATACCCACAACCATCGTTCTCATTCTCTTAAGTAGTTCTTGGACTCGAGGACTCAGTCTCTATTGAGCGGTGAATCAATTTGATACTCTGCTTAGTTACAAACTTACAGTGCAAGGCTCAAACGCTGTGATTCGATTTCTTTTAAGTCGTTTTCCTAAAATATTGTGAAATTACCTGCAGAAGAGAAAAAAGACAGAAAGTTGATAGGTTGGGTAGCTAGGCAGAGTAGTCACATGTGAGCTCAACATTGCCCTTGGGCATAATTGCTTGATGATCTCTTTCAATTGAAAGTTTGTGTCTCACTGGTTCTTGCTAGCAATATGGGGTTTTTTTTTTTTTTTTTTTGGCATTCAACTCCCATTTTTTTTTCAGTTGAGATGCTCTTCGGATCTCATTGTCTAGAGTCAAAGAATCAACAAATTCGAACCACTCAAATTCAATCTGACGGTTCTTATTAACTTAATTTGTTGGTACACCTAACACAAACCAAAGGCCTGAAGATCTCTCTCTTGAACGGTTCGAATTACTAACCTTTAGACTTTGGACAGTGAGGTTCGGAGAGGATCTCAACTCCATTTTTATCCCTGCAGATGGAAAATCAAATGGACAGGTGGGACCCACCCCACGAATGGAACCTCTGGACCTATCAGAGAGTGATAAGTGTTTGAGCTCCCCTTGTATTAGACCCCATCGTTTTGTAGGTACAATTGTTCTCTCTTCATCTTTTTAGGCTAACAAATGATGGTCCTTTTTGGCGCATATAAAAACGTACTCTTTGACGGTGACTGGCCTCTGACCTCCAATGGAACTAATTAGGAGCACGAGAAGGATGTTTTGTTGGTGCTAAATGTGCATTATGGCAATATGGAAACATTGGCTTATTATTTATGCACCTTTGATGGCAATTAAGTGATGCGTTATTTCATATCTACTTTCTAATTGCACTTTAAAGCCTTATTTTGGAGAGAGAGAGAGAAAAAAAAGGTACCGCTAGATTGTTATTGTATTGTCAGTTGTGTATCAGACTACAGTAATAAAGCAATTCTTTTTTGTTTTCTTGAGTTACAGGAAAGATGAGCGTCGAACTGATGTTACAATTGATTGTTGTTGTACTGTAGATGAGATGTGTTTTTTTCCTTTTATAAATTGATTGTTTAAGTGTTTTCCACTAGTATTATTATGGGATGTGTTTTTTTTTCCTTGTATAAATTGATTGTTTAAATGTTTTCCACTAGTATTATTAGTTATCAATCAGACTACATTTGGTTGAAGCTCAAGAAACAATGAAGATGAGAGTCGAACTTTTGCGTGAATATGGATGCCACTTGTTGTGTAACATCCCACATCGCCCAGGGAAGTGATCCTTAAATGTATATTTCCATCCCTACCTAGCACGAGGCATTTTGGGAGCTCACTGGCTTCGGGTTCCGTAGGAACTCTGAAGTTAAGCGAGAATGAGGCCAGGTCACTCCCAGGATGGGTGACCCACTGGGAAGTTGCTCGTGAGTTCCCAAAAACAAAACCGTGAGGGAATGGTAAGCTCAAAGCGGACAATATCGTGCTACGGTGGTAGAGCAGGCCCGAGATGTGGTGGACCCGGGCTGGGATGTGACAAATGGTATTAGAGCCAATCCATGGCTAGAAGTGTGCTGACGAGGACGTCGGATCCCTAAGGGGGGTGGATTGTAACATCCCACATCGTCCAGGGGAGTGATCCTTAAATGTATATTTTCATCCCTACCTAGCACGAGGTCTTTTGGGAGCTTACCGGCTTCGGGTTCCATAGGAACTCCGAAGTTAAGCGAGAATGGGAGTGATCCTTAAATGTATATTCATATCCCTACCTAGCACGAGGCTTTTTGGGAGCTCACCGGCTTCGGGTTCCGTAGGAACACCGAAGTTAAGTGAGAATGAGGCCAGGCACTCTCAGGATGGGTGACCCACTGGGAAGTTACTTGTGATGTATATTTCCATCCCTACCTAGCACGAGGTTTTTTGGGAGCTCACTGGCTTCGGGTTCCATAGGAACTCCGAAGTTAAGCGAGAATGGGAGTGATCCTTAAATGTATATTCCTATCCCTACCTAGCACGAGGCCTTTTGGGAGCTCACCGGCTTTGGGTTCCGTAGGAACACCGAAGTTAAGTGAGAATGAGGCCAGAGCACTCTCAGGATGGGTGACCCACTGGGAAGTTACTTGTGAGTTCCCAAAAACAAAACCGTGAGGGAATGGTAAGCCCAAAGCAGACAATATCGTGCTACGGTGGTAGAGCGGGCCTGAGATATGGTGGAGCCGGGCTGGGATGTGACATGTTGATTCTTGTCTTACGTTGATCAATTTTCTTCAATGCATTAGAAAATTTTATGAATGGTTTGAAAATCGTTCGAAGAGTAGTTGGCATGCCCTTAAATTCAAATTGTGCCTTTGAAAAGAAAAGAAAAGAACCTATTGGCATTGCTGAGCTAAGAACCACAATGTATGGACATGGTAGTCTTCTCTCATATTTTCGTGTCATGTTCTGTTGTATCACTGTGTTGTATCGTATTCCCTTGTGGTCATACAACAATTCATCTTATTAATTTAACGTATTCCCGTATCTTGTCGTGTCATATTCCCGTTTCCATATCCGTATCCGTATCCATGCATCATAGGCCAAGAATAGTGTCTCTCTCTTGGTAGTGGCTCTTGTTATCCACAATTGGTTGATGATACCTTCCATTTGGGACACACTTGCTTTTGTTAATCTAGTCATTGGCCAAACGCCAAACAGCTTGTTGGATTAGTGCTTGGGGAATTAGTAGTTAGAGACTCAATGCAGACATATTTTGTAAGTGACTTCTAATCCTAACTGCCACATCCTGCGACTTCTGTATATATACGGTCCTAGGCTAGGCATGCCCTAGTCCCACTTTCATGTTTTGTGTTCCATGTACGTACTCCTCCCATTTTTAGTTGTTGGATATTAAGAGCCAAAATTAAGAGGCAATCTGCATGAGGTGAAAAATAACGTGCATAAATTATTAAAAATAGTGTGCATAAATCATTCTTCTTTAAGTTTTTTTATCAAAAAAAGAAGTAAAAAAATATACGGGGGAAATTGCACTTTCACGACCGCATATCAACTTTTTGAGAGCGTCAACAATAACTTTTGGGAAGATTATGTATAATGAAGCCTTTTTCTTTTTATCTCAATTCTGAAACCATGTTAAACCCTCTTAATTCCGTTTCTAATCATTCATTCAAGCACCCCTTTCTCCCACTAGCCTAATTATACCAACCTACAGCTTTTGGTGGGACTGAAAGAGGGGACCTCAAGGATTGAAATGTATTATTTTACATATATTTGTATATGTACGTAGACGGATCAGTGGCACCGTTTTTTTTATACACTTTTTGACACATATTTTTGTAAGGCCATTTCATAATGTATTTTTACGATTTGAACCATCTATCTTTTAGGTATTCCTTAAAAAATCATGTCAACCAAAAATCACCGAAATATGAAATCGCATAACCGTTGGATTAAGGGTTTAGGGTTCTTTGTAGAATGTACCCGTCCGTTTTCATCATTACAAATGAATATCTTAATGGTTTCAAATTTATTTAATTTTCTACAAGAATAATTTATTAATGATGTTCTAGAATATAGATGTTCAGATCATTAAAATACATTACAGAGTAAAAGATTGTGTAAAAAAATATGGTGCTACAGATCATCCCCATATACCTACACATATATGTGTATAGTGATGAAAGCAACATCAAAGTGGAATATGTATTCATATTCAAATTTAGAAAGAAAAAAAACCTATATACTCTCCTCTTATGGTTTGATCTACTTTCCACTG